AAGCCACCTAACCTGCTGGTGTTCACAGGCGGCTGCGAAGAGCAGTTCCAGAAGATCCGCTCGCTCCTGGAGGAGTGTGTGGACACGGAGCGCTACGCCATCTACCACCTGCGGCCGCAGCAGGCCCTGAGCGAGCCCTGGCTGGAGAACACTCTGCTGCTGGTGCTGGCCACTGATGAGACGCTCACGCCACAGCTGCAGCTGCGCTTCCTGTCCTACCTGAGCCACGGCGGGAAGCTCCTGGGCCTTTCGTCCTCGCTGTGTCCCGCCGGACTCACGCTGCGGCCCAGAGACGTGCAGAACGACTGCATCTGCAGCCTGACCTTCAGCAGGTCGGACAGCACGGAGCTGCAGCTGAGCGTGTTGTCCAGCGGGAGTGTGTACGAGCGAGACGGAGCCGGTGGAGGAGAGGTGGAGCTCTGGGGCCAGATCAGCGCGCGGGACGAGCCAGAGATGGCCATCGTGCGCGTGACTCACGGAGAGGACAGCGGAGAGGCCGTCCTGTGTCAGGTAATGAGCTCTACTTAAACTACACCCTTAAAGTATGCGCATACGTTGGAGTGTGTAGTAGAAAGGTTGGCAAGCTTTAGGACACGCTGCTTCATCATAACTGTGTCTTGCATAGTTAGGTGCATCCTGTCACCATTTAAACTGCCCTGTCAATCACGGGTGCTTTCAAAACACTAAATGACGCACTACACCACTATACACTATGTACTAGACTAGAGTATGAAAAATAGAGAAGGTTATTTTATCCCGCTTCGAGTGCATGAAGTGTCCAACATTCCACACTCCGTATGGAATAGCACATATTAATCTTCCAAAGTCACATGATTTCAGTAAGCGAGGCTTCGTTATGGTTCGTGATGATCTCTGTGAACCATAGTCTATGGTGTTTTTACTTTAGTTTCTGTTGCATTTACACAGTTTTGACCAGCAGGTGTGGCCGGCGTGTGGCGTTTCGAGCGCCTCATCATTTTGCGAAGCAGTTGATTCAAAGATTGGAGAGGTTTGTTTCTCATCACTACAGAACGGTTCTCTTGTGTCTGCGCTCCGCAGGTGCGTTTGGAGACGGCTCCGGATGCTCATGATGCTCAAGGCTCCGCCGGCTTCTCAGAGCTGAAGATGAGCAACGGCCGGCGCTACGAGGTTCTGACGGAGATCCTGACGTCTCTGGGTCTGAGCTGTGAGCTGAGTCAGGTGCCTCCACACAGCCCCATCTACCTGCTCAGCACAGACTCGGTGAGAGTCACGTCTGCTTCTGCAGCGCTTCACAGCAGCTTCACAGATAAACAGGAAGATAACAGTGTCAACGTGTCAGTCACAGTGTTGATTACCAACACTAACCCATTACTGTGTTGCCATCAGATCCATCCATGATATTCCTAACCTACACATACAGATGTGATCGTCAGTTTAGTCTTTTCTATATATATATATATATATATATATATATACAGAAATTATTATTATTATTATTATTTTTACATCCTGCCCAATCTTGTCTAATGAAACAATGTTTATATTAAAAGCAATGAAAACTATATATGCTATATATTATGTGCAAAAAAAAAAGGATTAAAATCACATTACATTCTAACATTGTAACATTACAATCTAAAAACAAAAATAATGCTTTTAAAGCAGAAGTTAAATTCACTAAACTAAAATGAAAATGAATAAAAACAAAAGCGCAGACTAATTCACTTGTAGGGTTAAAATTCTACATATGGCACAGTCATTGTCCAAAATGTAGCTATGATTTAAAAGGATTTTAAAATGATTTAAAGTGGTTTGTGTCTTTGGAGTCTTGACTGAGAGCTCTTATGATTAGTACTATAAGAACAGAACAGCCAATAGCTAGTTAAGTGATTGACACCAACTTCTGTCATCAGATGAAGCTCAGTCAGTGTAATGCAGAGTTCTGTCCACAAGGTGTCAGTCTTTGTCTGTGACAACCTGATTTTACTGAAAATGATCAAAAGTGAGATAAACAAAGGCATCTCTAATATTTGTGCATTTGATGTTAGATGTTATGCATGAAGTATAATTTAAATGCATGCATATATACAAATCAGATATATATATGTGTTCATATGCATGCAAAAAGGTAATTGTAGCAGTAGAGGCAGTGAAGTGAAGCGCGTTTGACATCAGTTCATTTAGTTTTCCATTAGCTGCTCTGGTCAACACTGTTCTCGATGACCCTCGGACAGAAGCATGTTCTTTGACGTCGATCATTTACTAAGCGTTGTTCACTGAACCTCTTTTATGATTGCGGCTGCCGTTTCCCACAATGCCTCTGTCGGCCGCCTGCTGCCGCCGGTGTCTGTCTGTGCTAATGTGGAGCTGCGCTCTGCTTGTTAAGATGCTGTCGCTCCCCAGAGACGGCTGGATTGTGTCGTCTGATGAGAGACGCTCCGGCGGGCAGCTCTAATTGATTAAACGGCTCTGTTCTCCAGCTGATAATAAGGTCATTAGTGCAGCGTTTGTCTGTTTACTCGTCTGCCTCCACAGCAGCTTCACATGCCCTGATCGTATTTCACAGATTAAAAAAAATAATAATATATATATATATTAACTTTAATTATTATTATTATGATTTTGTTTTAAATTATTATGAATATAATTTTTTATTATTATTTTAAATGTTATTAGTAATATTTTAATTATAATTATTAATTAAATTATTTTTTTATGTATTAATTTATTTTTATTGATTGTAGATGCTGCACAGATATATGTGTCCCTGCAGCACAAAAGCAGTGTTAAGTCGCTGGGGTATATTTGTAGCAATAGCCAACAATACATTGTATGGGTCAAAATTATACATTTTTCTTTTATGCCAAAAATCATTAGGATATATCCAGTCGGAGTTATATTAAAAATTGTCCTGGCTATTCCAAGCTCTATCATTGCAGTCAGCGGGTGTTGCAGTTGAACAGTCCACAAGTCGTCAAATAAAGTGCGCACATTCATAAAACGTGCCGCAGACAGCTCCACGGGATGAATAAAGGCCCCCTGTCAGCGAATCCATGAGTTTTTGTAAGAAAAATATCCATATTTCAAATGTAATAAACGCTTTTCTCTCACTTCCGCTGACTGTCTAACTGTCATTTGGACAACTTTAAAGATGATTTTCTCAATATTTAGATTTTTTTGCACCCTCAGATTCCAGATTTTCAAATAGTTGTATCTCAGCCAAATATTGTCCGATCCTAACAAACCATACATCAATGGAAAGATTATTTATTCATAAATCTCAATGGTCACATATTTCACTGAATAGTTCTGAATTTGGTAATGGTGATATGATTAGCATGCAGTCTGAGCGTTTTAATACACTAATAAAATCATGATGAGCTTCTCTTGCAGTTCACACAGAAGAAGAGAAGCCAACATTAGCCTCGGCTAATTAACGAGCGCCGCGTCTCTTGAACGACACTTTGCTCTGATTTCAGCAGCGCTGCCAGAAACACGTATTATTCAAAGCTGTGTGACGGTGAAACAATGAGCTGAGACTGAAGCTGTGTCTGTGTGTCTGTGTGCGTGTGTGTCTGTGTGTGTGTGTGTGTCTGTGTGTCCCGCAGGAGCAGACGGGCAGTTTTCTGCGCTGGCTACAGGAGCAGGCGGGTGGTTCGGGTGGAGTTCTGCGGAGCGCGGCTGGAGTGCTGAAGGTGGTGTGGGCTGGAGACGAGCCTCCGGATCTGTGTGAGGGTGAGCGAGTGTTACACACCGAGCCGCCCCAGAGCTTCTCGGAGCACTTCAGCCTGCAGACGTACAGACAGCACCTGCAGACGCAGCGGCTCGGACGGACCGTCCTGTACGCAGACGTCACCTCCAGCACCATGAGCATGCTAGACGGGTGAGCACAGCCGGCGGGGGGGCTGGAACTCATTTAATGCTGGAGTGAGCTCACAGAGGTAAGAGCGGCCTGATAGAGGCCTTTGTGTACGGCGGGACTCGCGCTGGGACGCAGCCAGCGGACGGAGCAGGTGGAAGTCATTAGAGCTGTCATAACGTTTGACAAATGGACGGCGGAGCGCGGCTGAAGTGATTGGGAGTGACAGTTTTGTCATTAGCCCTGTAAGCTAACGAAAAAGGGGCCGTGGAAAAAAAACATCTACAGTTTGATTTCCCCTGGCCTGATTATCAGAGTAATTTCCAGATGTTGCTCTCTGATTAAGTGGTATTATTCTAGTATGAGAGTGCTGAGTGGGCGGCGTGTCGGACAGGAAGTTCAAAACAGCGAGCGCAGGTCATGTGCTCACAGCTGCAGAACCTCAGCATTTATCCTCTCTATTCACTATGTTCAGGAGGTTTCTCATCGCAGGACCAGAATGAGCTCACAGCGTTTATTATTACTGTGGCCTGTGTGTACGGCGGGACTCGCGCTGGGACGCAGCCAGCGGACGGAGCAGGTGGAAGTCATTAGAGCTGTCATAACGTTTGACAAATGGACGGCGGAGCGCGGCTGAAGTGATTGGGAGTGACAGTTTTGTCATTAGCCCTGTAAGCTAACGAAAAAGGGGCCGTGGAAAAAAAACATCTACAGTTTGATTTCCCCTGGCCTGATTATCAGAGTAATTTCCAGATGTTGCTCTCTGATTAAGTGGTATTATTCTAGTATGAGAGTGCTGAGTGGGCGGCGTGTCGGACAGGAAGTTCAAAACAGCGAGCGCAGGTCATGTGCTCACAGCTGCAGAACCTCAGCATTTATCCTCTCTATTCACTATGTTCAGGAGGTTTCTCATCGCAGGACCAGAATGAGCTCACAGCGTTTATTATTACTGTTGTGCTCATTATTCATATTAATAGTGCTGTTAGTATTATTATTGTGTTGATTTGATGATCAGTTGAGCTCCAGATAAACAGGCATTTGATTCGTCTGATCTGTGGAAGATGAGGAGGGTTATGAGAGGTGTATGTGTGTGTGTCTCTCTGTGTGTGTGTCTGTGTGTGTGTGTGTGTGGGTGTGTCTGTCTGTGTCTCTGTGTGTG